TTTTTCCATTATTGTGTTTATTTAGTGAGTAATCGAGTGATTTATGATAAATCGATCACACTACTATAACTTTGTATTAAAAAATGTTAAATTATTATAGAGATATAAGTTACGTTATTAATCAATTTTCTTTAAAAAAATTTATTTTAAATTAATAATAATTACGAATAAATTCTGTTGAGAAATATAATCATTTATAAACAATAGTTTTATGCATATTTTATGAAAGAAAGGTAGATAAATTAAATTACTAAAGTACTAATAATTCCATAAGAAAAAATTATCTAACTAAATTTATTATTGCATTAATCATTAAAGAAAATTGAAATTTTTATTCTGCAGAAATGTTAACTAACGTTAATTTAATAACATATTATGTTATATCTTTGATAGTTTTTAAATTTAGCTGAAGGAATGAATACCTAAAGATTGTGAAACTTAAAAATTAATGTATAATTGAGATTCCTTAAAATATTTTATAATTTTATACATTTGATTGTATTGAATAATTAGATATTTTTGTTAAAAATCTCAGCACATAAAAAATGCTAAATGAATGGTTTACTGTAAAAATGTATTAAGTTAAATGTTGAAGTATAGTTTAGCTTCAAAACTAATTATGTAGATATTTTTTGATTATTTGGATTAATAAAGCATTCGACTTGTTTAACTTTTAAACCGCCATGAGAAAGATTTAACTTTGGTGTGTTCTATTATTTTACTTTATAAATGTCAAGAAATATATTTAAAAAAACTCATTACTTTAAAGTAATCCGTTTGGGGTTAGCAACATTAAGCGTCTATTTTACTTGAAATACAATAAAACCCAACACTATAATAATAATTTTGGGTTTTATAGTAGTAGTTTGTTTTTTAATTATAATAATTGGAATTCTAGACTTCTCTCAATTTGTTTGGTATAAAAAATACTTTAAATATAACACCAGTATTTCCATTTTAACTTTTTTTTTGACATTAGGCAACCAAAATGTAAATGCTACACAGCAAATATAATATTCATAAAAATATTATCACTGTAATTGTTTATTAAGCTACAAAATTGGTAGTGAAAGACTTTGACAAGTTTGATATTGACGAGATAAAAAATAATTTAAAAACAGATAAACATAGTGTGTTATTATTATTAATACAACAAAAATATTTTCTTAAAATTTAATATTATTTAGAACAATTTATCATAGGTTTTAATATTAGATTATAATAAGCTCTGCGCCAGATTTTTATATAATTTTCAATTTCAATTTCATTTCTTAAACAATTCGAATAGGACAAATTTGTATTTACTTTGATTGTGTTAATGAATGATTATTTCTCTTGCATTCAATAATGATTTTCAAACAATTTATTAATCAAAACAAGAGCACGCCTCCATTAAGTTTTTATTTAAAGAAATGACATTTTTAAAAGTAAATTTTATCATTAAAAACTTGACACAACGACCTAATAAATTATATAAAAATCATCTTAAATATGATTAAATATGTTATTTGCACATAAATTAAAGACACTCACAAGCCTTCTATGTTATTTTTAATTATTGTAGACTTTTATCCTACTAACCGGATACTCATATGTTTACTCTGTAACAGATAAGAGAGATGTATCTCTACCGTGAATGTCACAGCCTACGCTTTGGAAAGATTGCCCTTGATTGAATCTAATTGAAATTGATATCCATGAAATAAAAAAAAACCTTAAGAGTTTTATAAAAATTAGGTGTGGTGTCTTTTTATTGTTCACTTCATCAACAGATAATAAAAAAACAAATTAATAATATAAAAGTAGTAAATTATATCATGAGTGATTGCGTTTCTTTAACAAGAAAACCTTGGCTATCGTGATGTATTGTGATTAATTAGTATCATTTTAGAGTAGTGACGACGTTGATTGTGTCCGGTAGATAAAACAAAACCTGAAGAAAATGACAGACAACAGTATAATCTCGTTAAAACAGTCTAAAAAAGAAAATTACATTTTCAATAACTGAGATGCGAAAACGTTTACTGTAATACTGGTTTTCTCTGATTTACTGAATTCGTTTTACTGACTTGTCTTTTCAAGTTAAAAATGGCGAAAATTCAAATAATTTGTCAACAGTAGCAATTATAATAATAGTATAGTAACAATCATAATGAGTAATTTCCTTTCGAATAAATTGTCCTTTTAACAGTTGAAAATAATTACAAAAAAAGTAATCTAATTGTTATAAAATCTTGATATTAACTTTTCTTATTCTGAGGGAACAGTGTGCAGAAGCGGCTTACTGAACATAAATTCTTAATTGGAAACTTAGTTTGTTTTCAAAAGAGCAAGACTCATTAAAAATGCAATAAATATAATTTTTTTTTAATTTAATTTTTTACTCATAAGAACAATAAAGTATTAGTAATTATCGATGATTCTTTAAAATCTTTTGAAATAATACAACAGTTATAACAAATAAACTTGTGTTACGATAAAAATCAAAAGAAAATTAATCCAATTAGTAGGATATTTGATTTAGTTATTTGAATATTCCATTTATCTCGAATAAGTTAAACATTTTTACATACCAGAATATCTTGTACTTTTGAAGCATGAACTTGACATATACACCATTAAATATTTATACCAAACATGGTACAATATTATTAAAGATATTTAATTATACCTGATGTCCTTGTAACCGATTTTATACATTTATTATCTATATATATATATATATAAATTATTTATACTAAAGACATAAAAAAATTATACTTAAGTTGAACATATATAGTATACTGTTAAAAAGGTATTGACTATCATATTGTGTATTAGAGCTTTTTTTAATTTAATACTAAAATAAAATGATTTGTTAAACGTTTGCTGTTTAGTTGGCAGCGGGTCGGATACTTTAAGTGTTGTTAAACTTAAAACGAGAAAATTTGTTATTTGTGTGCACTTGGTGTAAAAAGAGTACACAGGCACTAAGCATGAAAAAATGTTTTATCGGCCTTACGCATGAATCGTTATTTCTTTTTTTTTTAAATAATCTAAGTAAACATAGATAAAAATGTTTATATGCTATCATAGTTCCTATAAAGCTTTATATGCGCCTATATGATATTTTTGAATAAAATAATTTCTTAATAATGTATTAATACAATTTAAATATCACCATAATAAATACAAAGATATTATAAATACAAATACTAAATAAAAATAATTTGTATAAAATCATATTATTAAATGCCATTGATTTAATTTAAAATCTTCGATGATTCGTTGCATTTCTTTGTATACCAAATATGACATACATTTATAATTAAATCTTAAAATACATATATTTATGTGAGATTTTTCATAAATATAATTTTTTTCAATCGAAAATTTAGGTACTGCTTATTTTTAAAAAGGTATGTTACTATTTTCTACTCTGTAAATTCCACTTAATTGATTTAAAATAAGTTTTTCAATTATCATTATTAAAAAATAAAACTAATTTACGTGAAATTTCTATTTATTATTCTATTAAAATATTTAAAAATTTATAAGTTTTTAAATTCAGTGCTGCAATGGCATAAATAGGATTTTGACTTGGGGCGATATACAAAAAAAAATTATCATTACCCCTCCAAACAAAAAAAATTGTATATTCACCATGTAAATAATTTTGATCACTGTAGTGGTATAACTTAAAAATGTATGAAAAAAGAGAATGTATTAAAAATGTTCTCAAAAATCGCAATGATTAATTAGTTTTTTTTTGGTCAATTGAGAACGACTTACAACTCATAAAATTTATATTTTTTGAAGTATTTCCGTATATCTGAAGCCAAACCTTTTCGTAAAATTAAATATAACATGAAAAAAATTATGTTTATTTTTATTCAAAGGAAACTTTTTTTGACTTTATTTTGTTTAAAAATTTTATTTTAAAATAGTTAATTTTTAAAAGTAAATATATTTCTCTAATCAATATTTATAGTTACATAACTAAAAAAAAACGAATATTAAAAAAATTTTGGTTCAAGAACTGGTGTCCGAACTGATTCCGATCAAGTCCCTGCTGAATAAATGAAATATTATTTTTTCGCAAGACTCTCTACGGGAACTAAATATTTATTATAATGCAAGTTTTCTGGTTTCAAAATTTAGTATTTTTAGTTTATGTTTATGGCTCAAAAATGAAAAAAAGGAACATTTGTGAGTTGTGTTACTATTATTACTGATGAACAATATGTATTAGCTATTCTAATAAGATGATGTAAACATTTAATATTAAATTATATTAGAAAAATATTCGTCTCCATCGCCATCATGACCATATGTACGTAAAGTCCAATATAGAATTAAATAAATTATTTTAATTTGAATCTAAAATATAATAAACATTACAATTTAATTTTAACATAAATAGTGTTTAAATATTAAATCTAATAAAAATTTTCTTTGCCAGTAACAACTTTTTAATTAAATTTTGTATGTAGCATTTATCCTTTATTATAAATATATTTTTCAAATAAACAAATGTATAAAAAATTTACAAAATTGTATAATTTATCTACACATTTCGCAGCATTTGATTTTTTTGAATTGGTTCAAAAGTTAATCACTAAAATACTTTTTTTCAAATAATTTGCAATTATAGAATAAATATATTCTTTTGTTATTTAAATTTAAATCTAAATTTTAAATTTTACTATTAATATCATCGAGAATATATTATATATCAAGTACAGTAAAACTTCTACGAGTTAAACCTTGATTAGAAATCAATTGTTTTTTTCAGAAAAATGAATTTCTATAATCGTTTGTCTCATGATGATTAGATAATCATGAATATTTATTTACCATAGGCGTATTTAGAATGTCAGATTTTATTAATATATTAAGTACCAAGCCCTACTTATAAGCTTTTCAATCAATGTCATAGAAAATTAAGATTTATATGAGTTGTAAATGGCAGCATATTATGAGGAGGAGACTAATAGGCAATTTTTATGTTCTGTTAACAGTATATTCCAATAGCGGCCAGCACTTTAAGTCTGATGACGCAGTCGGTTGATCGATACGCCTCAATCCAACATCCGAGACATAGTCGACTGCACCGGACCAAGCATATGGCGTTCCTCGAATTAGGTGTAGCGGCCACTTGGATTGTGGCCGTCGCAATATCAGTGCCTCGATTCTACAGGCCTGCGAATCAGCTTTTGGCCGATATAAAGTGGACAAACTACTACGAGGCTACGTATGTCGCCGTTGTGTTTGTAATCCCGTGGGCCGTTGTTGCATTCAGCCAACGGGCCGTAAGCAGAACATTGTACATAACGTCATTGAAAGCGGCCGCTGCCCGCGGTCAGCTTCCACTACCAATGCCTATCATGACCGTAGCGTCCAAACAGGTCATTCTCGTAGCGTCCATTCAAAAAAACACAAACGTTCAATCGAAGGTAACAACTACGATTTTGATTGCATTGTTTTGTTTTTGACTGATGAAAATTAATTTGCATATCATTGATAATATTATAAGATTATCGAAGAAACTTTACATATTGAATCAAACTCACATCTTAAACATGAATAAATTTATTAACATACTGTACATGCTAATTGCCTAAAATCATATGCATGTGTTGAGCTATCGCTCTGAAGATGGAAAATCGTTATTTTTGTTTTCGTCGTAACTAAATTAATGATTTACATAAAAATTCGATTTTCAGAGTGAAGAAAGCTATAATACAAAAATGTCATTGTGTCTTGCGATTTTTGGGTATATCGCGTGATATTATTTATTAATTTTCTAAGAATTTTTTTTTATTAAATAACAGCATAAAAAATATTTTTAGTTTAAAAAAAAGGATTTTTCCGATAAAAAAAATTAAGCCTATTTAGTCAGAAAATCAAATTGAAATTTTCTCAGCTTCATTAACTTTTATTTTTTTATAACGCTTTATTAAGAGCTACAGCGGCCTTCCCCAAAGGAGGAGGTTTCGAAACCATTGATACTCCAAGACGGGTCGTTAGTCTGTTGTCAGAGAGAGGGATGGCGGACTCCAATTACCGAACTGATCTCTCGTTTGGCAAATGAAGCCGCCCGTGACCGAGTTTTGAACCCACTCGGCCACACCGTCCCTCATTTATTTTTTTATTAGATATGAAATATAATAGAACATATTTTTCAATAAAATTACTTGCACATTGAAGGTAAATGAATAACAATCAATAAACACGTCATTTACAAATTTGAAGATACTGAAATAGAATTAATTTTCATCAACTCGATGATTTATAATCGATCGTTTTTATAAAACAATAGTAATGCGACGCACATATAGAAAATGTTTTATAATTAAAACCAATACAGTTTCAACCACTTAATAATCTGTTTTGAATTATTACCTTTGTTAATACTTCCAAAGTCTAATGAACTTTGATAATTTTACCAATTTGAAATAACGAGTCTACTGAAAGCTTTACATTTCATTACACTGTTTTAGAGGTTTAAACACGTACAACACCTATTAACAATACGTCAACACGAACTGCGTCTACGGCCTAAATTTTCGTTTCCTTAATATTTTATTTTTATACTAAAAACTTCATAACTATGGTATTAGTTTTTACAAATATTTCACAATTACTATTTACATTCAAATTCAATCAATGTCATGTACAGCGTGCTATTCTATTACAATATTAATTGAATATACAATCAATAGTACTAATTATATTTGCCCATGATTATTTGATTAATTCACAAATATTTAAGTATTAATTACCGATATAAAGATTCTATTGAATACAATTTCTAGAACGCAAATGATCATAAAACATATTTGTATAATAAATATAAACTTTTATTATGAAAATACGTGTAAGAACAATTTTTTCTTGTGATCGATTTTTTTAACAATTATAGTATTATTTTTTATATTATATATTGTTTTAATTGTTGCTTTGAAATTAACATTATGTAAATTGAATAAATCTATAAATAAATAAATATTTGTTAAAACAGTAAAAATGCTAACACGTGCGATTTTTTTCGTTGATAAATTCATTGTATTGTTTAAAATGAAATATGCATTTAGGAATCTCTTAAATATTTAACTCATTATTTGTACTTACATGTTAATAAATTTACACAGTTGACTCCGTAGAACTAATGTTCAACTGCGCTGTTGCTGTTGGTTCTCGTATGGGTGACCATATGAGAATTTTAAGAGTGACGCACACCATACCTCCTAGTTTCACTGGAAAGTGACGCTTGTATTTTTGAATATAAGTCAATCAAGCGACCTTAAGAGACCATACAATAAAAAATAAATTAAATTTTTTTAAGTATAAAATTGTACCCCTTTTAATTAATTAATTCAAATGCTGCGTTAGATTAATTTTCAGAACTTGTAATGTCTTGAATCATTTCTTTTTTAATAAGTATAATTATTAATAAAATTCCAATTAATTATTTTTAACTTCTCTAAATACGTGTTTTAAATGTAGCTAGTATTCTTTTATGATGAAATGCTATTTCAAAAAAATTCGAGATAGTATTTTTCCAATCTTTTTATATTTAATCAAAATGTAATTTAACTAAAAATGTCTTTATTATATTCCATTAAACTTTTAATCTAAATAAAACGTGTTAATAAAGTTGTAATATAGAGATTTTATCCAAAATACGTACACTATTCAAAATTTATACATTTGCATAAGGAAACATGAATTATATGCATGACAGTTTCCAGTATGGAATTTGTAATACATAACTCCTATAGTGGTAAACTCATTGGACAAATTCCATCGATTGTGGTTGACGTCTACGTATTACACAATCTAAAACCTTTATGGACCGCAATTTGATTCAAATATGTATATATTTTATATGCTGCCGTTAATACAATTTGACAAAATACTGTTTTAAATATTTATCGATTCGTGATAATTGCCGTATGACAATTAAATCAGTAAATAATTATTCTTTCAATGGTGTTCAAAAAGTTGATTTTTTTTTCATTTGACTGATATCCAAATTGTATAAGATGGCAAAAATTATCCTTTTTCGGGTGATCAGGTTGTCATAATTTAGTTTACTTTTATAACTTATTATGTTGTTTTGCATTTTAAAAACAAAATTGTTGACGTAAAAATAAAAAAATTTAAATGATTTCTTATTTATAAAAATTGCGTTTTTGTTATTAATGAGAATTGCTATTACTATTATACAAGTTAATTTAAATCAAATATTTAACTGCAATTATAAATTATAATAAAACAATGAATTCGTCACAATTTTTATATATGTTTTCTTAATTTAACAAGTTTCAAAGGCATATTTAGTATTGAAAATTTATAAATGACAAAAATACAATTTTTACTCTAAAACAGTGAGATTTAATTAAACTTTTATAAAGCGTATTTCTACAACTTATTATTGTAATTTATAAAAATTAACATAAACTTGAACGCTAAGATAATACAACGTATTTAATTTCTGTAATTCACCATTTGAATAAAAAATTTAATAACTACGACCTTTCCCAACGTATAATTAGAAGAATAAAAATATTATTTTTATAACTTTGATTGCGCGTATATATTATTACTACCGAAGAGAACAAATTACCATTGTTTTGATTTAGTGTAGTTAAATACTTGCACGTACAAAGAAAATACAATGAAATGAAGTTATTTTATAAATAAAAAAAGTGAACATTATAATCATAATTTTGGATTAATATCATCATTTTAAAGTCACAATGATTTGAAAATGGACAGAATATTAAATAGATTAACATCCATTTGAACAAATTTAAAAATAATTATAAATAATAATCATATTATTAATGCTTTGTGGTTTTATTGATAATTTTGAAACAAATATACTCAAATAGAATTTAGAAATACCTTATAAAAATATATGAATTTTCATTTTTTTATTACTCGTTATCCTATGGATATTTTTATCCGTATAATGGACAGTTGGGTATTACCACGTATCAACATATCTCATAAGTTATACATAATTTACGCCATCAGTACCTAAATATCATAGGCCGACACGCATACTCTTTTCTTCACACGGTGTCAGTTTGTTTTGAACTTTGACGGAAGAGCGCTGCGTCATTAAAGTTTTTTTCATATTTCGCATTATAGATTTATACGCCATACTGTATTTACGTTGAAACACATTGAATCCGTATATATATATATTTAATGAAAAAATATCGTACAATTAATGTGTCCAACATAATTTTGAACACGCACATTAATTAACTGCATTATAAAGGAGTTATAAAATGAAATAATAGAGTTAGACACAGAACGCAATATTATTAATTGGGAACGTGAAATTAAAAACTATAAAAATTATGTAATATTATTTTGATATTTTTGTCAATGCCCCTCCTCCGACGGAGAAAAAACTAGAAAATTTAAACCAGATTCATTTTTATCTTCCGCTTCTTATATTTCTAGAATTAGAAAGCAGTCTAAGCTTCTTATTTACACACACAAGCTTGTGCAAACTCAAAATTGTATACTTACTTCTTTTATTAAATAATAACTGACTGAATTTTACAAAATTACTATAAGCTCGATCTTATCAGACCATGTTGACAATTTTGTAATTTTGAATATTTTGCCATATCCCATTCTTTTGTAATTTTGTAATAATTACTCTGTATAATTTACTCAATATTTTACCTTGCTGTATGCGTAACCAATTAAATTTCCTACTACTACTCACTAAATTTTTGTTCATATAAATAAAACTTTATCCTTACTATACGTCCAAGTTCTTAAGAAACTTGGTAATAGCTAACTCTCCCCTAATTTATGTTTTAAATCAGTTTTAATTCTATAAACTATTATCATTATGATCTCGACGTTTTTATTTTATATTACCATTATAATTTTGTATTTCATGTTGAACTCTAATTTTGGACCGTAGTTATTTATGTTAATGATAAAAAAAAAACAAAAATTTTGTCGTAATATTTTCAACTCATTCATTTGAATTATGACTATTATATTCTTTAACTTTTGGTTTTGTAACTTTTTCTTTGTAATTAGTTAACTAATTGAACAAATAATAAAGATAAATAAAATCTAATTGCACTTATTGCACAGTTTTTTATTACGCACTAAGACAAAAAATAACATTTTTATACCCCTCAAATTGTTAACTACAGTTATTTCTTTTTTGTTATATTATCGTCAAAACAATTAATTAATTATTGATTTTTTTTATAAAAAAAAAATGTTTTTTCAAATTATGTAACAGCGTACAAAAACAAATGTTGGTCAAATTCTATCTGCAGTTTTATATTCAGTTTTTTTTTTTAGTGGTTTTTCAATTTATTGCTACTTTACTTATTTACAGACAGTCAGTGATGGTGCGAAAACTTCTGTGGCGACAGCAGCGCAAGAAACAGAAGCAACGAAAAAGCAGCCGTCGATGCGCCCAACACCAACGGCCCGCAGTCGGAAGCGGTTGGCCAAGGTGCTGTTGGCACTGGCCGGCGTGTTCATTGCTTGCTGGCTGCCCTACGCAACAGCGCTCATTTACTCCAATTACCGGAGACCCGTCAAACTGGTCACCGTAGCGGCTTTGCTGTTCGGCCACACTCACTCGGTCGTCAACCCGCTGGCTTATTGGTGGCTAAACCGGCATACGTTCCATCCGTGTCCGTGCTGGAAACCCGACGACGACGATGACGACGGTAACGGCGTTTTCGTCGGATGCGGACTCGGTTGTGGCGTCGGTGGTGCCGGAGGACATGGCCACCATCGCAACGACGCCCGTCAGCCGTACACACCGACACGACTCAATCGGTTGCTGTTTCGTGCATCCAACAACCAGCGCAGCCGACAACCGTCATCCACAAACGAAGCTGCCCTTGGCCCGTTCAATCCAAGATTCGCTACTCCCAAGAAACGTCCAGAACAGTTACCCATCAAAAATCCTGCTGCGTTGTACTACGCTTAAGATATTTTTGTGTTTGTAAAATGTTATCAGTTTTGTTTAAATAAAAAGATCCCTTTGTGGTTTCAACACGTACCGTGTTGCCTTATATATACTTTGTCAAATAATTGTTATGTTTTTGTAAATAAATTTCCTGTCCATAAGTTATTCTAAGTTGAACAATTTTCGTGTTAAGCTCCTCGTAGATTAGTATTAAACAAATTTGTAACTTGTATACACTTTTTTGTAACTGAGGCGGTGCTTAAGTTTTAAGCATTTCGCCGTCTTGAACTGATATTTAGCGACTGAATGTTCAAATAATAATTTAATCTTGTTCGAAATTACGTGTCTTATTAAATAATTACTTGTAGAATACAATAAAATTGTTGTGATGATTATATTTTATTGTTGTACTTAGTTTACTTCTGTTATGACTTGTTGTATACATTTCTTCGTTTGTTGTTAATCGCTTTATTGTAACAATAAGAAATCGTATAAAATATCAATTGTGTCAAAATATACCAGTTTATGAAACTTTAGTTTTCTACTAGCTCCTTTCCAATGAAATCCAAGTGAACGCAATACTAGGCAATAAAGAAGTACTTTAGTTTTTAGCAGCTGACGCGAAGTTTTCTGCTTACGTTATAACTATTATAACAATTGTACCAACAGTATTCCGTTTTGTATCTAAAGTTTAGGTATTTATCTTATTATCAAGTTAATGCTGGAACAAAAAGCTGATTATTCGGTAGACCTTACAATACAACAAACAGTGCAATCACTATAATTATTGCTGAAATAGGGTGTAAACTAACTCAATGTTAGTAGTATGAAAACAAGATTAATTTATTTGCTCGGTATAATGACCGCAAGGTCAATGGTGTAGTAACAAATGAAATAGAGCCTCCTATTGTTTTGCCAATGCCATGTAGTACACATTTCATATGAACAATTCCGTCAATAGTGTTTTACAGATTTAATTAGTTGCCATCGGGAAGTATTATATATTAATTTATCATAAGCATCGATTGTAAATTATTGTTTGAATACTTTAATTAAAATATTGGTTTAAACTTTACGACTTCCAGGTTCTATTGTTATTCAACACACAAAAAACTATTAAAGAAATTAATAATACTCCACAGTAACCTGCTAATAATGTTTATTAGTCACTGTGAAATTTTTATTTTAATACTGCATACCTACGTATTATTTTTTTATTTTCTGACAGGTATTTGCTAAAAGCAAATAAATCATTGAATTATTTTTACAAACTTATAAATAAGATAGTAGACGTATCATTTTTTGTTTTTATTAGTTTATGAAATTAAAGTGTATTGTAAAAATGATGAAATATTATCACGTTTAAAATTTATAATAACTTTACTTAGCTAAACGGGACAAGTCTTGCTGTTAGAACTAAAAATAATAGTAATAATAACACAAACAATAAAGGATGTTATTTTAGAACAGACAATGTATTCGTTCCATTAGAGTAGCTCACAAATGGCATTTGCTTTAAGCGGTACAGGTCATCGACAACGAAAGGCTTTGCTAATAATCGTTTTATTATTAAAACGGTAATCAAGCTGACGAGTTTTGTAATGTATGTAGTTATTAGTGGATCTATTTTTCATCCACGTCATATAGCACTGCTAATGGCTGTAAGTATATCTGTTGAAATATATGACCTAACTCACGAGAGTTGGGTCAGTGAAAATAATATTTAATAGTGCAAATAGTATTTCATAGATGATGTATTTCACTTAAATCTTACTGTTATTTACTGTTAGTTAATTATAAATATCCATATTCTTCCAAAGTCTAGTAATTTTTTTATTTTTATTAACGTAAAATGATATTTGAAAATTTGGGAACAATTCAACAATATTTATACGTGGTGACCAGTGATAAAAAGTTTGAGCTCTACAAATTAAGTTGTATGATAACATTGGTAAAAATTAAAATTAATATATTTGAATTTTTATGGCTTTGAATGTGTTAAAACTTTCATGGATTGTCTTGTTGCTTGAAGTGCTTGAGGATATATCCATGTTTACAGTTGAGTTCTGACGTTTCGGACTCATTGCAGAGTCCATCTTCAGAGTGATGGTTGCTAGTCGGTGGCTGCAACTATTTATGGCTTTATTATGTTTTTCATTTCTATGGCTTCTTAATTTTTCGCGATTCTATAGCTTCTTAACGTTTTGCATTTCTATGGCTTCTTAACATTTTTATAGCTTCTTAAAATTTATGCATTTGTATAGGATTTTAATGTTTATATGGCTTCTTAACGTTTTGAATTTCTATGACTTCTTAATTTTTAAGCATTTTTATGGCTTCTAAGTTTGCATTTTTATAGCTTCTTAAAATGTATGCATTTCTATGGTTGCTTAATGATTTACATTTCTTTAGTTTACACCACTCGCGTTTTTTTTTATTTTAGTCAAATAATAAATAATATAATTTTTTATGTAATTTAAAAACTGTAAAAATCATTTAAAAAATAATTCAGAACATTCACTAAATCAAAAATTATTAATGATGTCAAAAATAGCAGGAAAAGTTAGGTAATCAGGGTATACTGCAAAAAATGTACAGGTTTACATCTCAAAAATGTTTATAGATTCGATGCAAAGCTGAGATGGTTTAATTAATTTTACCATGATATATTTATTTTTTATTTTTTTGTGTCTGTTACTACTTTTTTCTCAGCTCTCACTGGACCGATTTTTTTTAACGATACGTCAAAGATCATAAATCGTATCTAGTTGAAGACAATACCCTCAAAAATTGAAAATTTTGCCTTTGTTCCCTGTAAATAGTAAAAATCCCCCAAAAAATTACAATTTTTAGAATTGGTAAATTTCGACATTTTTATCATTTCTTTTCTAAAAATTGCCATGACTTATTTTAAAATGAACAAATCAAAATACATATTTTTTATATTGAAAGCATAGATATTTCCCTTTCATTCGACATAAATATTTTGAAAATCTATCCCTTTACCTGTCTACAAGGGGGATTTAAAATAACATCTTCTGTACAAGAATTTAACTTTTCCAACTTAAGTTTTGAAAATGTTCCAGAAATACTCTGAGCTTCAAATATATATTAAAATAAAGCTAATGTTATGTACTATAAGTTCAAAAAAAAAATTGTCCCGACGTCTTATCTTCTATGTGAAAATGGTTGCCGTAGTTAAAAAACATGCAATTTCGGTGTTAAAATTCTTGGTATTGTATTTCAATTTATTTTAAAATACCTTGTAAGTGGGTACACTGATTTTCATGAATATTATATAAATATAATTGATATAGAATATAATGTTAAACTTATTTCAATTTATTTTTTTTTTAAAGTCGATAAAGTTTAATTTAACTTTTGAATCAGCTTAAATTGCCAATTTTTCTAAAAAAAGAATGCGACGAATGTTTAGCAATTCAGTAAAACTCATTGCCCGTGGCAATACTTTTTTTGAAATTTTTCCATAATTCTTTTTGAATTAGAATTTTGCTTTTCAATAATTCACCAATTTTTTAAAATTAAACACTATCTACAGATTCGCATCGAAGTGTTTCTTATGATAGTGATTTTAATCACTATATATTAAAAGTCAGTGGCATATTAACAGGCATGTGTATGTGAGCTGGAAGTTAGTTTTTTTATTTTAGAGGAATTTCCCCTTTCTATAAGTAAGATAATAGGAAAAAATGGAGATCACATTTATATCAATTTACATAAGAAATAGATGCAATATGATTTATTTTCACAAAGAGCAGTGTTATTCGGAACAAAACAAGTATACTATGAGAAATACTGGTTATTCGTTTAGTTAAAATTTATATTATTAAATCTTTGATATTTAATTATTTAAAACGACATATGTCATTAGATATTCATGGTCAACTATTTCACAAATTTATTACAAGTATTTACCTAGTTAATATACAACAAAAATACATGTATCTACTAATATAATATTCACACGACTAGTAAAATAACAAAATAATAATAATATTATATTTAGTTACTTTGTAAAAAATAATCCAAAAATTACAATACGTCAGTATGATATTTTTAATATAAACTTTTATTTTACACATAATTAGTTTATTTTGACATAAAGTATCGGATATCCGTACACAAATATATAATTTTTATTAATAATTTTAATAATTTTATCTTACACTATATGCGTGAAAAACTTTTAGAATTTTTACACATGTAAAAATGTGGATATTTTTTTTTTTAGAAGTATAATATTTGCTGCATTTTTTAGAAATATAATTGTTTTTAATAGATAACTTATTTCATAACCTATTTAATATTAATATTTATTATGAAATAAATAATTCTAATATGTAATATTATAGCTAAATACAACCAACAAATATTTGTAATAGGGTCATAAATAAGATGTTAATGTAACGTGTTTATAACACATGTGAGTACGTCTAAGTATACTCTTATGTCAATTATAATAAAAATATTGAAAATTGATATTACGCTAAACAATCATAAGATATAAAATTCGAGAGTGTTAGAATTTAAATTATACTTCATAAATTGTTACTATAAAGTCTGACGAAAAGTGACTATCGATTATGTGAAAATATTATGTAGTTCTAAATGTTCTAAATTGTGATTTTAATTATGCAACGTGTTTCCTTAACTATGCCTCACGAAATATTTTTAAAAGTATAAAACTAACCTGTTTTTTTAACAATACTTATTCCTTGTTGAGCTACTGTATAAGAACAATAAAATTTCTTTTATCAACCGACATGCCTTTAACTATGATCAATATTTGATTTTCAAATTTCAATTATGTATTGTTTTTTTACCACGACATAATATTTTTATTAAAAAAGAAATTTTTTTTATTTATATTCAATTTCCAATTAGTTACTGGACTTTTACTGTTACTGGAAGAAAAAAAAACATTTATTTATACGTGGTGTGAACGCCAAAAATCGATTTTGTACCTATGCTATTACTTCTGTTCATTACATTGTTATGAAACAGTAGCGCTTATTGATTTATGCATTCGCGACCTGTATAAATAAATGCATATTTTTTTTTATCTTATTCAAATTTAATAAACTCCAAACTCACTGGGAATCAAAAAAAAATTTTTATTGAATCAAACCTGATGATACAAAAAAATACAAGGTTGTTATTTGAAAAACAAAAGTTAATGATAGTTTTAGGCATAAGATAATGGATAAACAAAAAATCATTATTGTATTAAAAAAAAAATAATAAAAAATTATAAACTCTTATATTTTCAAAAAATATTTCGTAAGGCATTAAATAATATAAAAGTACACAAACTTCTAAAACATCAATGTCACAACTTGCACAAAATAAAACTTAATCATGTAAAAACTTAGTGTAATCGTAGTATTGAATAAGGTGAGAGCAATTAATTAGCACACATTATAATATTTTTAACGTATAAGGTAACTACAGTTATTTTTTTTATTAGATTTTATACACTAAAAATAAAGCTAACACATTGATAAAAAATCACAATTAATATTATATTTATTAGTAAAACTTGATTCAATGCTACTATAGTGGGATATATTATGATTAAGGTCGTTTTTTTGTTAAGTTTATTAACCTTAAAAAACAAGCGTTACAAAGCGAGAATAATAACTGGTGTTTATTTTAAGTAAAAATAAATGGGGGTAATTAGTTTTTAGCTAGTAAATAAAATTAAAAATATATAAGACCATCAGGTAAATTGACCTTTCTAACGTTCACTTAATTTAACGTTTAAATGTAAATTAGATTTCCATATTTGTACAAATAATTTCATATTGCATGAATTTAAATATAATGTTAATTATAAAAAAGGTACGTATTTTATTTTAAGTGCCTAATGAAAATATTACTCATGATCTATAATAAATATTACTTATTGGTTTTTATATACAAATCAATTCTATATTAAATATTCAAAAAAGTGTTAACATTTTTTTACGACAGACAGGCAATAAAATATGTGTTATTATATTATTATTATATTCTTTATTAACAAATTTCATCAAATTTTTTAATTAATATCGAAAATATGCACTAAAAATAATAAAATTATCGGTATTAGTATTTAAAATACATTTGAAAAGTATTTCAAAACTATGCATCATAATAAAATTCTTAACACAAATTTATCAATATTCGTTGAATTAACACAATTTCTTTTTTATAAAAGTCTATGTATACTTTAAATATAAATTTAATTATTTTCATAATATTATTTATAAACTTAGCAATTATATTTAACATCAATTTTAAAGGCTTATAAGAAAGTTGAATAAATTTAAGAGTATTTGTAACAAAATCCCATTAAAATTATTTTTAATTATGTAACAAATGAATGACAAAATTGTAACAAAAAAATACAAAACTAAATCGAACGAGTAATTCCAAATAATTAAAATACTCCATATTTATTATTCTTTAGTAAACTTTTTAAAGTTCTCTAAAGTATAATATTTGCCGCTGCTGATTATATTAAAAGGCTAACAAACATTTAAAAAAGGACTATAATAATTTATGCCAAAATTTTGCACAATTAATTACATTGTGTCTAACTTGTAAATGAAACAAATGTTATTTAATTTACGTTTGTTTTGAAGCGTATAGTTAGTTTATGGTACATGAGATCAAACTTTTAAACTTGATTTGCATATTTATTTTACAGTTTACAGTGTGAAAATACAGTTTTGAAAATATTTCTAATAAAAAACTTAGTTCAACTTAAATCTGAATTCAAAATACCAAGCCGCGGTGAGTGACAACATTAATCTAAGAACGCCAACATCGCCTATTATATTGTTAAAATCTCCATCGAGTTATTTAAAATAAAATTGTATCATTTTTTATTATTAATATTTGCTTTCAATGGAATTATTTTTCAGTGAAAAAATATGTGGTTTTTTTTTAGTTTTCATAGCTGTCGATAAGAAATATCTTATACATTATTAGCTCATAGTTTTTATTTATTATTGTCAGCTACCCATTTGGGACTTAAGTATCTACTCCCTTTGGTTGCTACTTGACATATCTAATAAAAGTAAACTAAAGACAACCAAAATTCTTCGAAAAAGAAAATCTTTCTAGTGATAAATTGAAGTTGAATTGATAATTTATGTAAACTAAACTTGAATTTTATTACTAATCAATACGTTCTATAAAAATAATTTGATGTCTACTATAACCGTCACATGCATTTTTCTCAGAAAATGTTGTTTTTAATGACTTTATTAAAGATATTTATTTACATAACTGATATATTCCCTGATATGATTTTTTTTTTTAAATAATTTTGTAATAATATTTTTTTAACATTATTTTTAAAATTGCTATCCGGTTGCTTATTTAAAAATTTTAAATCGCTTATTTATTTTTACTATAAACGGATTATTATTATTAATATAACATATAAGATATGACCACTTTATGAACTCAATATCTCTAGCTAATCATTGGAACTTTCTAACAGTTAACAACTTTTTTTTATACCAGAGGATTGAATGTTAAATACAAAACATTCATGTTTGATCGGAAACTGGATATTACGTATGATTTTTTTACCCAGTTGTTTTATGGTATTTGTGATCCTGACACTAATTTCAACTGACCCCGTTTACTTATTGTTAACCTCCTATTGGGTTGTTTGTTTTACCTTTGACTACGTATTTTTGTTGTACTATCATTGCGGATGTAAGAATTATAATAATATTCCGATGTTGTGTTGACCTAACTCAATGTTTGTGTAACTAGTTTGTAGACTTGTCCTAGTGGTCTAATACTATAACATCTTTAATATAGATAAAATATAAAAAATTCCAAAAATTCTTGTTTTTAAAAATTAATAAAAACGATAATTTTTTATTTAATAAAAATTGTGTATTTTATTAGACATTACTTTGGACATTTTTGGTTCTTTTTACAATAAATACAATTTTTGTTGACATGTCAAAAATATATAAGTAATATACTGATTATTAGTAAACACAATGAATTAAAAAGTAAACATCATTCTTAATTAATTAAATACCATTAGCCACCGTCATTCAGTATTATTTTACCCTTAATTTTATAGTCTATATTAAGAAATAAATAAAATACTTTTTAAATTAAATAACATTTTTTTTTTTAATATAATATTATTTATAATAATACGTGTTATTATAATAAATTTTAATAAAAATATTAGCTAAAAGTTAAATACTTGTACAAGTATGTTTTTATGAGGTAATATTAAATATTATTATTGACCAAGCAAATTACTACTAAGACAAAAGTTAGTGTTTAGAATACATAAATGTAAAAATATTATTGCTCTCATTTTATTATTGTTACTTAGAATATATAACGATAAATTTGTTTAAGATACAATAGGTATAATGTTCTCATGTCTTTCAGTTGTTCGTTTGTTTTAATGTTTAGTGAGTATTCACAATTTATGTAAATGATTAGTGAAATAAAAATGTGTAAAGGTCCACCTTATAAATATTCGTTATGACAAAATATTTATATAAATTAGAATTTATTTCCATCATAATGTAACTTTGATTTATGTTAGCAAATGCGACCTAAAATTATAAATTTTATACATAATGAGATAACTTTATGATTGCTGTATATTGCATTGCTAACGTTTAATACATTACAACTATGCCAAGAAACTTTTATGTTAATATTACAAAGATAAACACGAACGTTTGTATAAATTATAAAAAAAATGTTTACAATTTAATAATTGATAAACAAAAAGTACAAAAAAATATATAAAAGAGGTGATAGAATTCAAATAAATTTTTAATACACATAAATATTTGAAGCCTTTCCCATACATGGAAAAATATATCCTGATAATCTGCTAAAAAAATGTTTTCACCAAAAAAACCAAAAATCAAGATTTTATGTAGAATAATAATTATGTTGAAAACAAAATGACGCTTATCATAAGTCCACGTGGTTTAGATAAACTGTTTTTTCTTTATCTTGTAAAATTAAGTTTTTGTGACTTAGTATCTTTCCCATGCCAGTGCCTCAATTGTGATTTAAAATTCATGATTTATTTATAATTATCATGTAAGTACATGAATAACAATCAAAGATTTGCTAATGCGTTGTGAGCTTACAATCCAGTATTTTGTAATTAACTTGTACTGTTCAATAGGTACAATAACAATATTGATAAAATAGAAATTACATTAACTAAAACAATCATATAGTATTTCCATTGTAAGTTGTTAACTAGTTGGAGGAAATGTCATCCATGCGCTACGGTTTCTTATCTAATAATTGGGTCAAAGGATGTGTATCGTATGCAAATGTTAATTGTTCATGCAGGATAGTTTCCTGGCTTTATATATCACAATCATTTGCAGTCTATGTGTACAACACCTGAGTAGCCAAGCAAATAATACTATCCATGAATTATTTACCAAGTTTTACAAAATAGATAAACGTGAAACGTTCAATACATCAGTGTTTCCAAGTTACTTGAAATTTTTGATATCATAAGAAACTTTTATATAAATAATTTTTTTTATAAAAAGTTGAGTGAGAATGTATTTTAAAATAATATTTGTCCTGATTGCATTGACTGGAATTTTTCAAGACGTTTACTGTGGTAATAATACTGTAATATAACTGTTTTTTAGTTTTAATAATAAATAAAAGTTGATTTATTTGTTTAACTATTAAATTGAAAATTGTTGATATTTTTAAATGTTTCAAAAATTTTATGTAACGATAATGAGTTTTACATAATAAATTATTACGAAGAATATAAACTTACAGGAGAACCAACAAATAAAATGGAAGTAGGCGTCTATAATCTGATGAAAAATAAACTAAAAGATATGATTTATTCGAGTGAAACAAATTTTGGAGACGAAAAGCGACTTCAAAAGAAAGAAGTGATTTCTGAAGATGTAATTCCGAAGTCTAAAATAGAAATTAAGAAGTAGACGTATTAAATTACATTTTTCAATACAATAATAACCTTTATCTTTTGTCACTATTCAACAAATGCCACTTCCGAATAAATATTTCATTAAAATTTTTGAAAAAATCAATTTTTTTGTTTTTGCGCTCAAAGACTGAATGTTTTTATAGTATCATTTAATAATATTTAACGTCCTCTTTAAAAGTTATTGCTTGTACCATAGAGAACTAAAAACTTACATAACCCAGTGCAACGGCATCAAACTCTGGTGCTTCTTATCGAGGCACGACGCGTTATTAACTAAGCTACGTAGGCCCCTTTTTGATTAATGTTTCACATTTAATTTAATTAACGATCAATTACTATATGTATATATTCATTATTTAATCTGTTTCTTTGGTAATTTTTTGTTTTAAATAGTTTAGTTATAATTATTCAAAATTTTTATAATTTTACCACCAGCTAATTTTCAATCATCAGAAACGTAAATTCAATATGGTAAAAAATGTCATTATTCAACTACGAAATTTATTAGTTATTTATTGATCTTTCTTTTATTGTATTTATAAAATGAAAAAAATATTTATTGTGATTTTTAAATGAATAATACAACAATAAATTTGATTGCTCTGGTAAATAAAATAATGACGAGTAATATCAGCGTCAAAATTCAATTTATAAATCATATAAAAATTAAAAAGAAGAAAAAGGCTGCAGTCTTGTGTTATTAAGTACCTATTCAGTCCATATCCTATACTTTTTAAGGGTATCAATTTAATTTTTTTACATGACAATACACATGTAAAACTAGATTATATGATCTTATTAGGAAAATGACTGGTTGATAACAACTTTTAGACTAGTACTTCGAAAGTTATTACCATTTTAAAATATAGACTGAAGGTAAGGTATAGGTATAACTAGCTTACATAATAGTAAATAATAATGCAATTAAAAAAATAATTAGTCGATAACAAATTTTGAATATGTATTTCTGAAATTATTTTTATTTTTAAGTAATTGAGGGGGTTATTATAAACATATCACTCTGTGTATAATAAAAAAAAACTCTATTTGTTATATATTATTTTCTTAAAATTATTGTTATTTTCATTTTAAATGTGAACAGTTGATACAAAAATAAATAATTATACATTGTCCAAAGTTATTTTAAGAGCAGATCCGCTGTCCATATAATAAATATTCAAAACATTGGAAATATTAAAATTAAAATTAGCTCTCAGTGATATTATATAATGATTACCTGACAGCTAACTATGTATAATACACTTGTGAATATAAATCTACTAGTCAAAATCATAATGTTATTTATTTATTGTTCGAAATATAGTAATTGAAATTTAGGTCTATTTTCTGAAAAATTATATTTTATAATTTTATAAATACTGTGCTAAAATGAATGATATTACGAACTCTGAATTTTGTAGCCAAAGTGAATTTTTATTTTAATTTATTTTAAGAAAAAAACATTTTTATTAAGTAAAAATAACTACTAGTTATTGAATTTAATAAATTCAAGTAAAATATGGTTATTTTAGTTCGATTTTGAAACAATTTACAAGGAAAATGGTTCAATTCGGTTCGAATATCACTTATTATAATATAGTTAGATTTATAGAAGTTACTCCTCTGTTCTATGAGACTGTGATAATAATTCATGCCATATTGTACTGAGATTTCTTTAGCTCCACACAAAAGCTTTTGAAATTAGGGCTGTTACTCACTATTAAGAAGTTGACGAACATTTCGGTTAATAAAATATACAAAGTAATAAGTATTGATTAATAATAACTTTTGTTATGACCAAAACGTGAAGTATTTTTTTAACGTCTTTATACGAATAGGTATTTCCTAAATATTATCATAACCCGTACACATGTTGTTCTTTATGCTATAAAAATATAACAGAAGTTATTTGCCTATTCATATTATAACATAAAATTACAAGGGAAAAAGGCTTTCATATTTTTTCTCGGGTGAATTTCACTTACCTACAACTTTACAACTTTACGAAGCCAAAGCGAATAATAAAATATTGCGGAAATTTAATAAAAGTAATGATGAAATTTCTGTTTTAATGATACGTTTATACTAAAAATTCAATGAATCTTATTATATAATAAAACATTGAAAAATTAGTCAATGTTGTAAAAATTACTTAACGATGTCATTAATTTTCAATTTTTTTTTTTTAATATAAGAGTTCGAATATGTTATTCTGAGAATATTATTTACAAAGATGAGAAAATTTGCTTCAGCACTCCGGATTGTTTAATATTTACCGCCTATCATTTTCTGACGAAATCAATTGTCCTATTGAATAGGGGATAAGAATAATTCCATTATCCCTCTGCCAGTCATAAGAGACGACTAACGAGGTTGCATCAGGTCGACAGGTGTAAAATTTTATCAAAAACTACGAGGAGTCCTGAACAGAGTTTAGGCAGAATTTTCCCTTTTTGGATGTATGCGGGGACAAAAGGTCAGAGAAAATAAAGTAGTTAGAGACGGAGAAGGCCTGAAGAAAATATAGTATTTTAAGTCAACCCGCATAATTTTTAGTAAGATACAAGTTTGGTATGCGCATGACAATTTTTTATAAATTTACATTAGTTTTTGAAGTTTTCACTAATAACAGGGCATTCAAAGATTGTATTTAATGATAATTATGTTATCATTCGTTTAACTGTTGTACTAAATAATAATTAGTAGGTTATTATGAAGTATAATTTTGAATACATCTAAGTATTTTGTGGCCATATTATTATTTTTTAAATTTGGATCTGGGACTATTTTTCTGGTAAAGTTTTTCTAGAACACATATCATGCACGGCGTAGGAGTACCCTACCGGAATCAGTGCCCTACTTGTAATATATAAACCTAGTATACATAAATTCGATTTAAGGTGTTAGTTATAATACAAAACATATTAAGGACTTCTATCAATTTAATGAACGTTTCTTTTCATTGAAAATTGTAGATAAGTAAACAATTATTTTCATACTTACTCGTTGTAATATTTTAAGTTTTTGATAACTTGAATTTTCAGTTATGAATGTATGAAACAATACGAATAATTTATTATTAAAACTTTGACAGCTATATTCAGAATGTGGTAAAATAAAGATATATGCAGTATATCATAGTTTTTTAAGCTTTAAATGTCATACCTGTCAAAATAAACAGCGATGTCTACTCAATATCAATGTATTTAAAATTTTATCAATTTTAAAATTTGTGTGTAAGTATATTATTAATTGATATTTATAAATATTGATTTATATATGAAAACAACTTTTATAGCATATAATTTGATATATTTTTTTTGATGATTCTTTTGCTTTACACTTCATTCTGCTAAAAATATATTGTATAATTTTTAAAACGTCTGTATCTCTGCTCTAGTAATATTTGTAAATATAACTAAATCGGAAACATAGTTGATAATGAAATTAATATTATCACATGTATCTTATAATAAATACTTACAAACTATACTAACTACTATGGATTCTTTTCAGTGAGTGAGGTCTTTATAAGTACCGGCGCAAGGGTACAACAATATAGTAATTTCTTCTGTCTGAAATCTCACCTCAACCCTCTTCCTTCTTCTTAAAAGCCCCGCAAAACCTAACACCATTACAGGATTTTATTACATCAAGCAACCCTAATACTTGTAATATAATGGTTGAAGTATAAAATGCGAGCTTAATTAATTAATAATTACGAAAATAATCAACCGAACGTATCCTATGGTGACACACGAAGGTAAAGGGAACATGATGAAAGTTACTTCAGCGTTGCCTGAGTAATCAATCAAGTGAAGTATTATCGAAATTTAAAAATAACTGGATTATTTTTATTTAATTATTTTAAAGGTTTTAAATCTTTTGAATCACTTTTTTCATGTAATCATTAACAAAAGATTATTAATGATAGGATTTATTTTAATGCTGGTATCATATTAACGTTAAAATTTTAGAACTTTTAGATCGAATAAAATATTTTTCAATTAAATGAAACCATAGTTAAGACTTTCAAGGCAAAATAAATCAATCTTACCTCTATATTCTTCTGTGCTAACGACAAAATTAAACATTAAACTTAAACTTATAACTTGATTTTTCAAATATTTTAATAGAAAAATTATATTTAAAGAATTGTACTTTTAGTGTGGTATTTTTCTAACAAGGACTATTGCTCAGATATAAGTGCGCAAAAAAATGTCGGCATAATAAATAATAATATTTGTTTATGTATTATTTTATAACAAAAATAATTTTTACGTTTCTATACTTAGATAAATTGTATCAAATGAAATAATAAATTAATTTTAATTATAAATGAAAAAAAGCGTAAGATATAATAATGCGTAAGATCAAAAGTTTTTAAAACAAATAATTTTACTAATTAATTAAATAATTTTAATAATTTAGTGCCTATGTTATTATCTTTATAATATAGAGTGTTCAGTAAGTTAGGAGACGGGTTTTTATTATTCTCGTTGTTTGTAACAATTGACATGTCTCCTTACTTACTGTACACTCTGTATATATATATAAATATATTACAATTGAAACATTTTAAAGAAATCATTATTAACAAAAATGTTGAACAATTCCATTTATAGTTTAAACTTTAATTGTAATTTTTACCACAATGATAAAAATATATATTAATTTATCATTGGCCACTGAATTTCTCGTAAAATAATATGTTGCAATTAAATAAAGTTGGTACTCATGTAGAATTCAAGGGACGAACCAAAAATGTAATTATTAATCAAGAAATTTAAAAATATATGTAATTAAAAAAAATCAAAACACAAATTTCTGAAATTATTTTGATTTTGTAAGTAATGATAAATGAATGGTTCACATTTATATCTGTGTAAATGTGCTGTTTTCTATTAAGTATTAAAGCTCTTTAATGTAAAGTAATTGAACATAGCTGTAAGTACTCCACTTGACTTAATGTAGGATTCTATAGTAAATCTAGCAAAATAATCGTAATCCATGAATCAGTAATTATTTTCGTTACCTAGTAAAACCATGTTTATCTCATCTCGACCTCAAATAATTATTTTATTCATTTAACAGTTAATTAAA